AGTGATGTCAAACCACATGTGGGTGTGTAGTGGGCACTGCTGACAGCACCAGAGCCCAGTCTTGCACCCACAGCACACAGACTGCCATGCAGCAGTCAGTAAGAACCTTAGGAATGGCACTACTGCCACTCCAGCTATTCTCTAAAGTTACACAGCAAAGACCCAAACAAGCAGCTGTATAAACTGGATATTGAACCACTGAAACTGAGCCACTGAGTGTACAGAGGAAAACCTCAGTGAAGGCGTGGTGCAGGATGCACCTCTTGTAGCTTATAACGTGCCCAAAACAAGTATAAAAAAATTACTTTCACATTACTTCAATCTACTTCTCTGCCTCCTAGAATATGTCACACTTACTAAGCACAATTTAAATTAAAATGTTATGCAGTTGGGTGAAGCACATTGCCAAGTGGAACAAAGATCAGAGATTGTACTAATACTACCTTCCCTTTAAAATAGGTTGCACTGTCTTGTAAAATAGCTCTAAAAAATCCCAAACAAAAACCAGGTCTGCTGTACAAATCTAAGAGCACTTTTGCCAAACAACCATTAGCTTAATGTCAAAACTTTTACATGTTGGCCAAGCTCATACTACAACAAAGGAAGGGGATAGGGTAAACATGTTATTAACATATATTTTAAAAATAAAGCATTCATTTATCATAAGTTAAATTTTTTAAAAAAAATTATCTTAAAACAAGCATTGCTGTAACTGTCTGGATATTGCTCAGTTACAATCTTATTTTTTGTAATAAGGGGAGTTAGAACAGAACACCACCTCAGTGTTATTAAAATGGTAATTTAAACATCTCTTAATTAGTACAAGCTGTAAGAGAACAAGTACTGGGATGTAATGTTCTATTTTAAGTCTGTCCTTGCAATGTTAACTTGTTTCTAATTTCACAGTCTTTCAAGCATACCTAGATTATTTTTAAAATTGATACACATATTAATATTCTAACTGCCATTATACACCTATGCTATAAAACATCAGGGTTTGGAAACAAGGGCACTTTCCCTCTACACTACCAGAAGTGATGAGCAAAAATCATGCAATGAGCTGGCAGCATCATTACACTTCAAGTAAAACAGATATGTATACAAGTCTTCTGCTCTGAGTTTTGACTTTTAAAGCTGTCATTACCAGACCAATGAGTTTACAATAAGAACTTCAAAAGAAGTATAAGCCTGTTAACCTAAAAGGAAAGTCTGCTTTTAAAAAAAACATGCTTTACTGATGAAGCAGTAATGTACTATAGGGATCAGTAGTCACATCAATATACATGGAAGGAAATCCTACAAATCCTAGTACATTAGTTTTTGTCCTCATGGAACAACAGTGGTATTCAAGTATAACAGATTTAAGAGTCTCGGATTTAAAGTGATAATTAAGGATCCACCTTGGATCACTTTAAATCCGAGACTCTTAATTCTGTGATAATTGGTAGATCACTTTATCTCTACCTTGGAGATAAAGATATCTCACCTTGAAGCCTGGTGAACTCCCAGATGTACAACAGCCCTTAATTTAGTCTTAACTGTACTATAAAACCCATGCAAAAATGTATTTTTTAAAAAATAATTTCTCAGTATCTAGGATTCCTTAAAACCACTTTACTGAGGTGAAAAGTAGCCTTTGATTTCAGGGGCAAGTCCAAGTGCTTAGCTCTATCTGAAGCAAAAAAGGAAAACAATTCCTGACATCCTTCACATTGCACAGCTGTTACTCCAAATGTAAAGCAAATAATCTGCAGACTGACTTTCTGAAGCAGCAGCATGTGCTCCGACCTCACATCCATCCTTAAGCAATTCATGCACTCAAACTTTAAAATTCATCCATGACACAAATTGACAATCTGGCAACATGTTGGCTGAAGGAAAACACTTCCCACTCCTCCCAGTCCCATGCCCACAGTCATCTTTCCTTGCTTGTTCTGCTCCTCCATTCCCCAACACTGCCTGAGCTATTTATTTCCTTACTAAAAATTTGTTCAATGTGCCTTTGAGTTTTCTGCTATATTTGGGATCGTCTTAAATAACTCTCCAGACAATTGTACCATCAGGCCTCACACTCACACACGCCTTGTAACGAAGCTCTGCAGGCTCAAGGCCTCATCCAACCTGGCTTTGGACACTGCCAGGGCTGGGGCATCCACAGCCCTCCTGGGCAGCCTGTGGCAGCATCTCACCATCCTCACAGTAAAAAAGAAGTGGATGCCAGCCCCAGGTCAGTCCTGATCCAGAAGCTACTCTGGGCTGTGGCAGCACAGGTCAGCAGCAGCACAGTAACCTGCAGAGGAGACAGGCTCCCTATCTAGGGCAACAACAACAGCACGAGGAATTTCCACCTCCACCACTCATTCCTAACCTGTGTCTCACACATTTGGTCAGGTAAATAATGTTATGAACACCTGGCACACAATCGAAGCTTTATCTTGATTATGAGTGCACTTCATATGCAGTGCTAGGTAGGAACTGATAGCCCTGATAAGAAGTGGGGCAGGCAGAGCAGTGCTACTGGAGTTTATTTACCTTCTGCCCAACCATTGTTGATCCCAATGCAGATCACACTAGGTCCTTTCTGCAGAGAAGGAAACTGAAACCACAGCTCCTAGGCAATGCTGGCCACTGGCCAAATATTTTTCCAAACAGTGTCTTTTAGGTCGTGTCCATGTAAAACAAGCAAAACGAACTCACAGCTCCAGCATGTCCAGGACTAAGGCAAGGTCCTCCCTGTGCACCACTCAGAGCACAGAGCAGACTGAGAAAGGTCGGTGCTGTCAGGCACCACAGGTGAGCCACAGGAGAAACCTGTCACACCACCCGAGTGTGTGCCTCGCTTTCAGTGCGACACGGTCACTGAGAGAGTGGCCACAGAGGAATAACCAGGGCTGCACTCAGCCTTTGTTTGCATGAGCCTACCGAGAGAGTTCAACATTTTGGAGAAACAGACAGCATCTAGGAGTGTCAGCAGATTATAGGCAATATGAATTTCCCTCTCCCACACTCAACCAAAAAAACAATAATAATCCGTATCCACTGTAAACATAGCTCTACCAGCAGAGGAGGAAAACTTTCTTAAGCCCTCCCTTCCATACAGCGAGTCCATTCCAAATGGAAATGTGATGGGCAGTAATCCCAGTTACAGGGAGGAGAGGAGGAGACGCTGGAACAAAGATGAACACCAAAGCAGTCCCTCTGCAGCTGCCCCAGAAGGCAGTAAAATTAAACAGTGTGAACAACTTTTGAGATAGGCCTTCCACAAAAAAGGCTGAAGATGCTGTACCATCTAAATAACAATCCAATCTATGAACAAACAGAAAGAAACCATAAATTCTGTTTCTCAGGAAATTGCCTTCCTCCTTCCATTCAACTTCCTTCTCTCCTAAGAAAACAAATGCCCTGAAGCACAGTAACCACATGCTAATTTGAGTATACTACAAAATATCCCTTAATGATTAACTCCAACTCTTTTTTAGTTTGAACAATGCCTTATTCAGAAGGGCTTTCTTATAAAAGAGCACTCATTCATTTATCATGTTAACTACCTAACTCTATTTATCATTAACTTCAATATATTTTGCATGTTTACTTGGCTCAGGCTACTGTTTGGTATTTAATTTGAGTACTAACTTAATTTACAACAGTGTAATAGGCTGCACCTATTTTACTAGATATATATCATAACATCTGGCGTACATCTGTATGCAAAGCCTTGCCTTAGTAGTTTGTTAGGAGGTGGTTTCTCTGTTTTTATAAAAGGGCTGAAGCTTCACCCTTGCATTAGGAGAAGGTGTCATATGCTGAACTCTGCTAATTTATTATGCTGAAAGGTTATAGCTGCTGCTGTTGGATTATTCAATAAGCAGCCAGTGGGCAGCACCACCACTGGCAGTGCATGTTCCAGAGGGCATTAAAGGGAACACATGAGCTAACTGTGCACAAGATGCAAACACCTAAATAATGAACACCTCCTCAAACCCCCCACCACAGCAGGGTCTGGGGAAATTGACTGTTTCCAGTTTATACAATTCTGTAATTTAAGACAACAATGAAGGGGGAACTGGTAAATACAAAGAACTGAGAGCTATGTTAAATATGCATTAAATAATTTCCAAAATAACTTTTATGAGGAAATACTAAGGCTTCTGTAGAATTGTATTAAAATACAAACTTTGTATCCATGCAAAAAGAGCAGAAGAAAAAAATGAAACCTACCATCCTGTCAGAGACTGTGGAACTTTGCTACCTGGCTTTTAATTGGGTGAAAAGACTGAAGACATAAAAATCTTAAACATATCTTAGGGAAAAAGAAAATCCATGTCTTCAGTCACTGCAGTTAGTCTGAGATGACAAATTCCAAAGATTCAAAATGCAGAACTTACAGAAAAAACATTGTATGTTTCTAAGGTCTATCTGAAGCTTCATTTGCTCGTTTTTGCACTTGAAATTGGCAAGGCTACAACTGCAACTTTGTCTATAATAGTAAATGACAACACACATTATATTCTTGTTTTCTGCAACAATCCAAGATGCAAAGAGGACCAACAGAGGACGCAAGCAAGGACCAACATTACCCTCAACCTGACAATCACCTTTTACCATCATCAGGGACTTCAACTGTCCATTTGCTTTCTATAAAACATTCCTCATCACCAAAGCTCTCTCACCTCCATCTGTATTTGTTGAACATCCTCGCTGAAATGTTTTGTACTATCACTCCTTTTTTCCCTAACATAAATGTTTCAGATTTCATTTTTTCCCAAATGTTATCTGCTGTAAAGGTATATGCTACAATCATTTCATTAAGGGACTGGGCAAACAGCAGCACGGGATCAGGAGAGGTCTGTGCAGCCAGGGCAGGGGAGCCAGGTACTGCACATGCACTTTTCAAATAAGTTTCAGAAATCCACAAAGGGGTTGTTCCAGAACACCAAAAAGCAAAATCTATCACAGAGGAACACGACAACAAAAATATTCAGCCAGTTTTTTGCTTTCCTCTAACAGGTGCTTTTGTGACGTGGAGCAGAGAAGCATGCGCTGAGCAGTGAATCACCTCTCCTCATCAGCATCAGCCCATCTCCCGAGCCCAGCCTCCTCCCCTGCATCCAGGCGGGGGGCGGAGGGCTCCGAGGGCCGAGGGGCTCCGGGGGAGGCCAGAGCACCGCCGAGGCAGCGGCAGGGCCCAGGGAGAGGCCGGGGATGAGCTCCCGCCCGGCGCGGAGCGGGGAAGGGGCGGCCGGGGGCTCCGGTCCGGCTGCCGGCGGGAGCGACCGCGCTCGGCCCCGCGGGCTGCGGCGTGACGGGAACGGCGAGATGCGCCAGCGCTGCCCCGGAGAACACCCGGAGCGGAGCCCCGGCCCGGGGCGGTGCTGGGAGGGCGGGCAGGGGCGCTTCCAGCCCGGCTTCACGCCGAGCCGCCCGCCCGACCCCCACTCGGCACTTCCAGGAGGCCTTTCCGCGCCGCCACCTGCTCCGGGCAGCGGCCGAGGCAGCTCCTGCCCGCCCGTACCGGAGCGCCGAGCCCCGGCGCATCCTCTCGGCCCGGCCGCCCCGAGCCCGGCCGCGGGGACGGAGCTGACCCCGCGTAACCCCGCTCCTTCCCCGGCTGATCCGGCCGCCTCCGCCCCGACGGGGGCCCCCGGGCAGCGCCGGCCCCGCGGCCCCTCTCGTGCGCGGGGCGACCCTCCCGCTCCTCGCCGCTCCCCAGATGCTGCCGAGTGGCAGCAGGGGGGGAGACCAGCTTTACCCCGTCCCATGTCACCCCGCTCCGCTCCATCCCATCCCATCCCCGCCACGCAGAGCCCGCACTCACCGTGCCCAGCCCCGGCGCTGCCGGCGCAGATCACTGCGCTACCGGCGGCGGTACCGGCTGCTAAAATGGCTGAGGGCGCGGGGGAGGAGCGAGCCCCGCGCCGCCGCCGCCTGGGCCGCCCAATCCTCCCTCCCTCGCTTCGCCACCGTGACGCGCTGGGGAAGGGGCGGAGGCGGCCGCGGACCCGAGCCCGGGGATCCGGTCAGTGCTGCCGCCGCGTCCCGAGGTGACCCCGGGATCCGCAGGCTCGTCAAGGGGTGACACGGGACCCCGGGCTTCGGGCAGAGCTCGGTTAGCGCGGCCCTTCTGCGGGGCTTATCACGGTTCCGCTGAGGCTCATGTGCAGGCCGCGGGGCAGGCCGAGCTGCGGGCACACGGCGAAAGCCGCTCCGGACCCCCAGCCCCGACCCCGGCACAGCCTCCCGGGCGGCTCCCGCTGCAAGCAGCAAGGCCGCCAGTCCGGATCTTACAGGCTGGAACAGACAGCTCAGATGTTTGTACCCCAGTTTTGGCTCCTGACGATCTGGAGACCACCAGGCCCAGTCGGAGGCCCCTTTCTTCTTTATTCTGAACACAAGGAACGGGTTTCAGCAGCAGTGCTGACAAGAGCGACTGGGATTACTCACAGTGCGGTTCAAAAAGCCAGAGGCTACAAATATCCCCATGATTCATGCAAGAGTTTGCCAGATGGTTTTAGCTGTTTTGGAGTCTGAGGCTTCTTCGGAAGAGAACTGGCACAAAATAACTTGCTTCTGACAATGCCACTTCTTAATAGTGTGTAAGGGAAGAGGAAACATTTGGTGCTCCATCTATGTGGAACAGAAGTCCAGCAGGATCCTCCCCCGCCCCATATGGAGAGGGACAGAGTGTGAAAAAACAAAATTGGCGTACATTACATAGCCATTGCTATATTTGGTAACAGGTTTGCTTCCATAAAAACAACACCTTGCAGGAGGCTAAAATGTTCTGGCAACAACTGCGCATGCAATGTGGATGTTATATTTGATAATTCCCAGAGAAGCAAAAAGCACATCACTTCCTTGGATAGAGGCTGAGCTGAATCACAGTGTGGGTTTTGCTCTGTTTGGACTATATGACACTTGGGACAGTCTGTTACACTCTCACTTTGTTCTAATTTGTTGCAAACCCCATTATTTTTCTTAATGTCACATCATCACTAATAAGAGAACCCGGATTGCACAAGATGCCCAAAGGCATATCTGTTTCATGCAGATTACTTTTTTGATCTAACCTCCCTAAAACTTAGAAAAGGTTGGGCAAACCAACTTGCCACAATTTTTTTTTTCAACTAGAACACTGACACAGCTTCTTTTCTAAATCTTTGTCATGAACTGTAAATAGGCAAGAAAATCTACTTGCAATTTATTCCGGGTATTTTGTACTTCTTCCAGTATTAGATTTTGAATTAAGTGGGTACAGATTTACCTTGATGTATCCTGCTGGTGGGAAAGGAAGCAGGTCTTGTGCCTAAGCCAGCTAAAGCACTGGAATGACCACAGTGCATCAGAGCAAGCCCGAGATAGAGCACAATGCTGTTCTCAACAGCGGCTGGCCATCTCCTGGGAAGATGAGACTTCTGCAACTTTGAGACCTTTATCTAGAAGTAGCCTGTATCTGCTCTTGATAGACAATGGAGAAGAAATCCATTTGCTTTCTTAGTCCTCTAAGCTTCCAGCATCTACAGCTTGATGTCATTCCACAGTCTAACTTCATGCTGGGTGGAAATCACTTCTGTGTGTAGCGTGCCTTCTATCTTGTATTTCCATGTGATGTCCCCTGACTTTTGCATTAGTTAACCATTCTCTCTTACCTCTCTCCATGCCCCTCCTTGTTTTACAGATTTGTAACACAGATTCCTTGCACTACTACCTTACTCATCTCTCTTCTAGGCTGACAAGTCTCACATTTTCCAGGTGCAGTTTCACAGTACTTCCAACAAGTCGGAGCTTCCATCTCTCTACTGCAGACTGCATGTCCTTGCTGCCACCTGCATTCCAGGTGCTTCAGGTTGTGCATTCTGCTGAGTGTAACTCTTCCCTCTCCTCTCCTTTTATGCCCTCCCTGCTGGAGATCTCATCAAGCCATGGGACCATCTCATCAACCTCTTCTTGGCCCTGGACAAGCTGGCCTTGTATGCCAGAGCAAGAAGCTCTGTGGGGAGCCCCAATGTCTGCAGGGTTTGTCCACTCATGGCCCCAGGCCAGGCACCACTGACTGACATCCAGGCCTCAGAGGTGTTCTTGGGGATGCTCAACAAAATACTTTGTTACTTTGTTATTTACTAATAATTTCAGCAAAGTTGAAAACAAATTTTGGTTAATTAATGGAAAAAAAAATAACCTGTCAGGTTATCATTAGAGTAATGAGTCCTAAAATTATACTTACTACAGACAGGGTGAAGAGTCAAATACGCCTTGTTCTGTGGAGGCTTTAGAAAAAGCACCATGGAAAGCCTTTCCTGCAGCTACAGGTATGCAAATACCTGCCTGATTTTCACAGGATTTACTGATACAGAATATGCTCTTTTGTTTGTCATAAGATAAATTTTCATTGAAACCAGTTCTTTGAAAGATGCCAAACATTCTGTTTTGAAAGCAAAGCAGAAACGGATTTACTTGTTCTTTATAAATAAAGCTGTGGGCAACTAGTAATTCCCTGAGGATGTGTGATACTTCCAAAGGCTTTAAAACAGGAAGATAAGACAAGGAAGCCTATGGTCAGGAAGCTGACATTCACTACAAGATGTGTAAAATGTCTTTGCAAACTTTTAAAGGAGTCTTTAAACAAAAATGAAAATTATCTTTATGTAGCAAAATGTATCCTCAAAACCAAATTTGACTGAAAGGATTTTCCTTGTCTCTTGTGTTGCAACTCCTTTGTATCTTTCTGGTAAGAAACACTCACTCAAGATCTCTGTGGGATGTGATGAGTGTAACAGCACTTCCCAGACAGTGAAGTCACTCAGTACTGACGCTGATTTTCAGCCTTAACACAGAGGTCAAAAGAAGAGAAAGAGATCTTGAGGAGAGGCTGAAGCCAAGGCCTCTGTTTTTCACCCAGGATTCAGTGCAAGCTTGGAAAGAGTAAAGAGCTTCTCACCTCATTCCTGATATCAGCAAAGGGATTGCATAATCTTAGCACTTCTAATCTAAGTAATAAATCAATATCTGGAGCCTTGTGGGTTGTTTATTTATATTAGGAGAAGTGACTGATGAAATCAACTATTTCCTAAGTACAGTCCTGTTTGTCTTCACAGACTGTACAGTTGGAATCAAAACAACAGAAAACAAAATTTGTACACAAACTTGGCCATTTTGGAGCAAGCATTCTCCCAGAAAAGTTGCCTGAGTTTCATCTCAGGCTGGTGAAGTTTTAGTGTGCCCCTTTTTGCACACTGGACCTCCACAGGAATTCTGCCCATCAGGAGTAATGCACTTTTATTCACTCCAGACCTTTTTAAACTGACTCTTGTGTTTTCAAAGAAAACAAAACCAACATAGCAGTCAGTCATATACATTTGGTGACACAAAGGCTTACTGATATCTCCAAGTAAGTGCACTCCAAGGGGGAATTTCCAGCAGGGGGAACTGAGAGATGGCTGTGAATAAAAGGCAGCGTTTTAAGAGAAGGGGCTGCTACCAAATATATGAATTGTTTTGTTTTTTGATGATTTTTGTTCAAGCTAGTTCTATTCCTCCCTTAGTCTTATATACAAAACCAGATTTCAAAATTATCTGCAAAACTGTTTGTAATGGTTGTCAAAGAATAAAAATTTTCTAGATTTTTATAGGAAAAACAAAAAACCCTTTCTTGCATCTCCAACCATAATACTGGGCCTTTGGGGGAAGGAGCAGGAGGAACATAGAGACAAAGTCTGATAGGTTCTCTGAACAAAAAACCTGCAATCAGTATTTTTCCCCCTCTTGTACCCAAATATGATTTCTCACTTTGAATCATTGGGCAGAAAAATGAACAGCAGCTTGCAAGCGCTGCACAAATACTTGCATTACATAAGTAAATCATTGGTTTAAGCCCTGTTCCATGTGTGACACAGAAACAGGTACCTGCTTGCAGACATAACATTCGTATTTTGCAAAACCATCAGCTTCATTACTTGCTCAGATGTGTGCAGAGGTTAGAGCTACTTTGCTTTCCAGAAGTAATTCCTGACAGTAACACTCTGCTTAGGCTTCAAGACACCAGAGCAATGACAGCACACATGTTCTGGTTTTCTCTTTTCCCTGATTCTTTCCTCCAAGTGGGCACCTGATTATTTACTGTCTTGGGTCAAATCAGCACTCACAGGAAGTTCTGTTGGTTGGGTCACACACTACACAAAGCCAAAGCAGAATGTAGTTTCAGTGTTCTCTTACTGTCCAGTTTATCACAAAACTGAAAAGCCCTATCTGAAGCACAGCCTTCAAGTATTAGATCAAAAATAGGATGCAGTGTTGGACCAGGAATTCCTGATTGAAGGATATACATTTTAAGAAAAGAAAGCAGTATTGACAGAGATATTTCTGATATATACCACAATAAATCCAGGGAAATACGTGGAACTCTAAATTTAATATTTTTGGTGCCAACAGTTACGTGTCTTATTGGAGCAGAACAATCAGTAGATCACCACAGAAAACAAAATACCTAAAAGTAGACTTCAGAGGAAACTTTCAACAGCCATTGCAAAAAAAAGACTGAATAGTTAGCACATATTGAAATATGTTGTATGCTGCCTAGAGACATTCACAAGAAAGATAATTAATTGCTATGGAAATGAAATGTTTTATTTAATTTTTCACATGATCCAGTCTAAAGTGCATGACCACAGCAAACAGTAGCCACAACAGGCCAGACATTCTACAAAGAGCCCATGAAATTAGGATACATTATGGCTCAAAATATGGTTAAAAATGGTCTTCTTTCAGCATTTCTGTACTTTTCTCACCAGGATCTCTTGAGTCTTATAGCTTCCTTTAAAGGAATCATAACATTTTAAATATGGTGGCCTAATTTAGTATTAAACCATTTGGGGAATTCATTAGAGCAAACACTAGACTTCAGTGAGGACCTCGACCTCAATAGTTTTTCTGTTTACATTTGTGATGGCAGAAGT